GGGTGGAAGCGCGACGTCGACATTCCACCTTGCTGCGAGCCTGGGATCTGCAGAGATTCAGCAGCCATGTCTGACTTTCCGCCTCCGCTCGCCTTGGTTTCTCGCGACTCGACATCGATGGCGAGCTCTTTAATCTGCGCCATGCCAAAGTCGGTGATTCGGGCACTGCCGTCAAAGCCTGAATGGCAAATCGGGAATGTCAGCAGACTCACAAGACGTCTCAGCAGGCGAACAAGAGCGACTTGCCGAGCAGCACGTTGCGCGCGCTGAGGTCGCCGTGCAGGATCGGCGTCGAGCGCGAGTGCAAAAAGTTCATGCCGGTGGCAATCTGCAAGGCAAAGCGCAAGCGGTCCGAGACGGGCGTGGACGGGTGGGTCTCAAGGAACCAGGCCAGGTCGGTTCGCATGAGCGGAATCACAACAAACGGCCTTGTTGTGTTCGTGCACATAGCAAGCATGGGCAGAATGTGTGCATGCGAGTTTGCGCCGGCGCGCGAGACCGAGTGCCAGAGCGCCGCGAGCTTGTCAATGGCCGCCTTGTGCCGCTGGCCGAGATGCTCGGGCATGATCTTGACCGCAACGGCCTGACCGTCCCACAGAGCCATGTATGTTTTCCCGATCGTGCCGCAGCCGAGGATCTTGCTGGTGAGCACAAAGACGTCGTCTGCGGAAACGGACCACTCGTGCTCTTGCGCTGAGCCGTATCCGATCATGAGTCGCCTTGTGCGACCCACAATCGTGGCCAGTGACTCGCGCAGGCGATCCTGCATCGGCTCGGGGAAGCGCGCGATGCCGACGGCCAGGCATTCCTCTGCGTCCTCGACAATCTCTATTGCCCTGCGCACGCATGCCGGCGTTGGCAGCGAAGGCCGAGCCGGGCGTCAGCGGTGCGGCTGTCCGAACAGCGGCGATGCGGGCACGCACTCGTGGCGCATGTCGGCGTGACGCCATGCAACCGCCGCGACGTCGAGGAGCTCGAGCGCACGCGCGCGGTCCTGCTCAAGCGCAAGCTCAAGCTCGCTCTCTGTCGGCTGGGTCTGCGGCTGCGACTTGCTGAGGGCCTGCGAAAGGACCAACAGTTTGTGGATGATTTTCGGCCGCATGGAGGGCGTCAGCGTCCGACGGCAAGAGGCGCACTCGCGCGGACCGGCGGCCCTGCCTTGAGCGTGCGCTGGAGGCGCTCGTCAAGCTCAACGAGGCGCTCGGCGGCTGCCTGCTGCGCCAGCAGCTGGCGCAGCATGCCCTTGCGGGTGTGGGCGATGGCGGCGAGCAACGTCTCGCCGAGGAGCGCGGTCGCTGTTTGCGCTGCCGCGGTCGTGTCGGGCCCGCGGCCCTGCTTGGCCTGTCCGCCGGCGGCGGCGGCGGCTGCGGCGGCTGCGGCGGCCACGTGGGCCGCGCGACGGGCCACGGCGGCGAGCAGCTGCTCGCACGTCGGCGCCGCCGCGGCGACGAGGCCAAGAGCCTCAGCGAACGCAGCTGCGGCGTCCATGCTGGTTGGGTCGCCGAGCGTCATCGAAAGAAAGAAGACAACGAAAATGCTGTGCGCTGGGGTTGTTCCGCCGGCGTGCTGGCCGAGCCGCGCCAGTGAGCCGCACCGGCCCTCTCAGATGCCTCTGGCCCCGCGGCATCGCCCGGCGCTGCACAGCACGGTGTCCGCGCGGTACGGCGTGGCGCGGCGCGGCGGAAGTCCGGTATCATTGGTGGTCGATCGGCGGCTTTTGGGGGTCCTGAGCGCGGTTCATTTCGAGCGTGTATGCTCTTCAATGAACGCAGCTTGCCACCTCAATTTCGAGCGTGTCGAGCAACACTGCCGTTCGGTCGCCACGGAGAGAGATCCAGGAAAGTGCCTCTGATGGGAAAGGCGGTTGGCTATTGTCCGCTCTTTCATTTTCCGCTGCAATGATGCTCACTCCAGACATCAACTGCCCGGCTGGGTGAAGGTCCAGCCATCCAAATCGGGCAAGCAAACAAAACGATCACAAACGACACAAAATATGTCAAGAGAATACATTTACGGGAATTTTTCATGACATGGACTTACTGACAACGAAATTCAGGGATATTGCTATCCATGGTTTCTTAGGGGGATCGCACCGACAGATTGAGATGAAGGCGAGCGGATTCAATGCGGCGGCCGATACTCTACGACATGCATTATGGGCTAAACGAATTCGAGCAACAGGAGGCCGCGGAGGATACCTGGAAAGAAAGGGGCTATAGACGAGCTCGTGCCGCTTGCGGTGCCTGGCCTTCCAGCCGGATCCCCGCCGCTGCGTGGGCTGCTGTATGCTGACGACGCGGTCGTGTTTGGCGACTCTGCCGATGCGATCCGCGCCGCCGCCGTGCACCTCGAGGCGTGGGCCGCCAAGTGGCAGATGTCGTACGGTGTGGCCAAGTGCGGCGTCATGTGCATCCGCGCCAAGGCTGGCCCGCCGCCCGCGCTTGACCCGCCCGTGCTGCTGCACGAGCAAGCCGTCCCGTTTGTCAGCGAGTATCGGTACCTTGGTGCCATCATCGACGACAAGCTCTCGTTCAAGCCGTGGCTCGAGCACAAGCGCGCGGCCGTGTTCAATGCAGTGCATGCGCTGGCGCCTGTGCTCGCAAACCGCCGCTTCTCGGTGCGCATGCGGCACCGAGTGTTTGTTGCCGTGGTGCTCGGCATCGCGCGCTATGGCATCGAGGTCTTTGCCGGCATGAAGACTGGCCTCTCGAGGGTGCAGCCCGCCATCAACAAGGGCGTGCGCAGTTTTTCCATCGTTGAGCGTTGGCGGCTGGCGCAATAAATAACCAGTTCACCAAAAAATCACCGTCATATTATCATTCCGAGATCTTTTGAGATATACGCGATGGATCTCGCTGCTGGCGGCGGCGTCACGGCGTGCGTCGAGTGGATGTGCTGCGACTATGCCCAGACGGAGGCATAGGAGCCGGGCCTTCGTGGCAAGCGCAATGGCTTTGACCCGACGCCGACGCAAGCCATGTTCGAGACCGCGTGCCAGCTGCGGCATGCCGATCTGGCGCAATGGCTGCTGGCGCACCCAGGCATTTCCGTCGACCAAGGTGCTGTGGAGCGCGCCGTCGACGAGCAAGCCGTCGAGATGCTTGCTGTGTTTATCGCCCACGACCGCTCGTGGCTCGCTGTCGCCGCTTGCCGAGCGGCCGCAAGTGATCAAGTCCAAGTGCTGAGGTGGATTCGGCGGCGATATCGTGGAGGTCCAACCCAGAGCGTACTCGAGACGGCCGTTTATCACGGATGCATCCGAGCCGTGCGAAACCTTGTTGGCAACGCCAATGATATTGGGTGGGACCTGGCGCGCGTGCGCCGTGCCGCTGATAAGGTCGGCATTGGTGCACTTTTTGAATCCTGCAAAGCGGCTTGTGGGTAGTCTGGCGCAAGCGGAGATGCATTTCGGAGCAGTGTCGTGCTGCCTGTGTGTCTGTGCCAGTCAGGTGCAATACACTTGGCTCGCGGATAGCCCCTCCACACAAGAGCACGGGGTACGACTGCGTCCCCGGAAGGGCGGAGGGAAGCGAGCAGCCATGATGAGCGGGATCGGGGCATGTGGCGCGTGGCAGGGCCGGAGCACGCTTGCTGCTTGTGTGATGCAGCGAGGTTCAACGACATGAACCTGGGGCTGAATCAAGGTCAGACTGGAGGAATGTTGCGGTGCACCAGCCGGCTGCCCGAGAAAGTTGTGCCGGAGACTCAAGGTCACAAGCTACTCGCCACAACCGATGGAGCAGCGGGGCGGACTGCTCCACGGGAGGGTGGTGCACAAGGACGCAGCGGGCAGCAGGCAGCAGGCAGCAGCCGGAATGCAGAACATACATTTATCAATGGCAGGCGGGATGGAGGTTTGTGCAGGAGGAGGTCACATGTGGGGAGACGGCGAGCAGCACACAGGCGCACACCGCCGAGCTCCCAGAGTTGGCAGCTTTCAGGTGCTCACGGCTTGCGAGCCATCTTGTCGGCGCCATTGACGCTCTTGGGCTGCTGCTGCACGGGCTTGCCGGGCTTGGTCTTGGGAAGCAGCGACTTGCGGGACTGCCTCTCGGCATCATTACCCTGCTGGCGGCGGACCAGCGAAGCTATGGATGCGATGCTGCCGGCCTTATCTCCGATCGAGGATACAGGCTTCTGCTTGCCCTCAGCGCCATTGCCTTGCTGGCGGCGGACCAACGCGGGGCCCGACTGCAGCTTACGGGGACCGGTCGCAGGTGACCGGCGGTGCCTCTGACGGGCAGAAGCGAGGGCGGCCGGCTGCGGCAGTGCAATGCGGGAGGCGGCGGCCGGCGCCTCTGCAACTGGCTCGGGCAGAGCGGCAGCAGCAGAAGCCAGGAATGCGATTGCGGCGGAGGCGGCAGCGAGCAGACGCATCGTGCGTGTGTCGGGTTGGTGGGGTAGGGTGGGACTGAGCGCCTTTTGTGCGCCGCCCGCCCTTGGGACGCCGGTTCGGCCGACCGCCGCTGAGTGCGGGCCGCCTCGCTGAGAGTGCGCCGCCCCGCCTCGCCGCCGCATGCAACCGGGGCTCGGGCACCTGCGCGCCGCACCCGCGCCGGATCCGCAGCCCGCCGCCCGCACTCGCGTCCATCGGGGCCGCCGCCTGCTCTCGCCCATCGAGCGTGTGTCGCGGGTGGCACCCGCCGAAACGCGCCGTGCCATCTCCGTCATCGGCCCGACCAGGGACTCGAGCCGCTGTCGCCTGGCTCCCGTCGCCGCCTCTCGCCTCTCGCCGCGCGTTCGGACGCACCTGAGCTCGGGTGCCGAGGGATGCACGCAGCGTCCATGTGCGGTGCTGGCCCGCCGGCCCGTGCTGCGGTGCCTCCTGCGGCACAGTGGCCTTTCCGACCAGCTCATCTATGAGATGCAGGGTGCTGGGCTGCTGCACGGCGGTTGCCGCAGCCAGACAGGCAATCCGCAGCCCAATGCAGGCTCGCAGCAATCGCGTGAGTAGCACAAGGTATATATTCTGCATAGAATTTTTTGTGGATGTGATGGGGGCTCTCGTGGCGCAATTGGCTAGCGCGTCTGACTGTTAATCAGGAGGTTGGTGGTTCGAGCCCACCCGAGAGCGTTTTCTGCCACATGCATTTCCTGAGGGCGCGGAAGGCGCGGACTTTGCCTCGGCGCCGGTGATCCCGAGGCGGGTTTGGTCGTCCGCCATCCGTGCACGCATCCGCCTTCAACACACAGCACGCCCCGTTCTTGCACAACTCGACCATCCCGCTCTCGGCCCGACTGCAGGTCTTTTCGAGCGCGGTGCTTGGCGTCGCCGGGTACTGCCTCGAACTGATCGGTGGTAACCGCTCCCGCCGGCCCATCAACGCTCGCCGCCCGCGCCTTGCTCAAGATTGTGCGCTACATCTTTGAGCAAGGGTACATCCCGCACGTCTGGCGCTCGGCCGCCATTGTGTCAGTGCCCAAGAAAGGAGACCTCTCGGACCCGAACAACTATCGGGGCATTGCATTGATCAACTGCGGCGCCAAGCTAGTCTCAAAGATTGTGCTCAACCGGTTGAACACCATCGCCGGCACGCTACTACGCGACGAGCAGGCTGGCTTCCGCACGCTCGAGGAGTGCCCCGCACAAGTCGCCTCGTTTGTCGAAATTGTCGAACGTCGCCTCGCCACTGGCCGCCCGACATACGCCTGCTTCATCGACTTCAAGAAAGCCTTTGACACCGTCCCCGTCCAGGCGCTGCTCCACAAGCTGCGCCG